CTCACTTCACTCCCACTCCTGCTGTCCCTCAAACACACCAAGCACTGAAAAACCCACATGGTGACTTAAATAAATAGGAGTATAATTCTCTCCTATGACAGGAAATCTGGAAGAAGGTAGTTACTGACTTTGATTTGGGGGAGTCTCCTGGATTTTTCTTCACGGTTGCAAGGTGGCTGCTGCAGCTGCAGCCATCACACCTTGTGTTCAGAGCCAAAGGAAGGGAAAGAGGGTGATGCCAGTTCCTTTTAGTAGGAAGAGAAAAGCTTTCCCACAAATCCTCAGGAGACTTACTGAGATCACACTGACCAGAGAACTGCTTCAGAGGCTACCCAAGCTGCAGGAGGCTGGGAGAGTGCTTGGCTGGCCCACTGATGCCCAGAACCAAATTATAGATCTGCGAGGGAAGAAGGAAGGAATGAATGTGTACTGGGGGGTGAGTGACAAGGTTTGCATTTGGTGTCCTTGGATAATCAGCAGATGGCTGGTCTGGACAAAGATGCTAATTGGTGGGAGGGGCCTCTATTGGGGGGGGGAGGGATGTGTGAGAGGACACTAATCTTAGTGGTTATCAGATTATTAGGGTAATAATTTTTTCTGACAACTCTTGCTTCCCTGGAGCTGAGTGTGGGGATTTAGGTAACAAGGACCGCCTGTGTGGCAGGGGTTCTTAATGGCAGAGTCTTTGAAGTGGCTTTGAGAGCTCATCAAGTGTGCACATTTGAGGTGTTGATATATCTGCAAAGTTGCCCTCCAAAATGACTCCACTGAGTTGTACCCACACCCCAGGAAATGAAAAGGCTTGCCTCAAATACCCTAAGCACCTCTGACAGTTGCCCATCTCATAAGCAAAAACAAGGACTTTCAAAATTTAAATCTGTCCCTCCTTTCCTTTTGAGGGAGGTTGAACATCCTTTCAGGTGGTTTTTGATTATTTTTTTCCTCTTCCATGAATCGCCTGTTCTTTTCTTTTGCCCACTTTCCTTTTGGGAGTCATTGATGCTTAGGAGCTGTTTGTGTATTATGGTTATTTACTCTTTATAATTTTTTATTGTTATTATTAGAGATGGGTCTCGCTATGTTGCCCAGCCTGTACTCAAACTCCTGGGCTCAAGCCATCTTCCCGCCTCAGCCTCTCTAGTAGCTGAGACTGAAGGCACGCACCACCGTGCCTGGCTGTCTCTGGGTTTTTTTGTCTTTTAACTCGGATTTTTTTTTTTTTTAATAACGAAGTTAAAGTATGTGGTCACATCTGTCACTGTTTTTCCTTATGACCTCTGAATTTCCTATCATGCTTGGAAAAATCTTTCCCACTTCAAGATTATACATATATTTTACATATATATTACATATCTATCTCTTTCTGTATTTTGTTGTAGAATTTTTATGGTTTTTGATGGTTAGATCTTTAGTTTGGAAGACATTTTGAACTTTAAGAGCTTTATTATCAGTATAACCCTCCCTAGTTGACTGTTCTCTTCTTGTTCCATTAAGGCAAAATGCAAATCAGCACAGATATTCAGTCTCCAATATTTTAAAGTGTAATGTTACTTATAAAACGTATTTTGTATAAGGTTGTGTATGTCTTCTGTACATACCTCACGTTCAAGTTAATGGCTTCAATTTATGTTCTAAAGAAAAGCACATAATACAAAAATTAAATTAATAATATACTTAGTTATAACCATATTGAGACAAGTACTGGCACTCCTGTTAAGTGCCATTTTGTACCCTTCCCTTATGTTCTCTCTATTGCATTAACCAACCCCAAAAATCATTGAGCTGCTCTTAAAAAAAAAAAAAGATCTTTAGTTTATCCTGGATTTTGTGTTTTATTTACTTATTTATTTTTGAGATAGGGTCTTGCTCTGTTGCCCAGGTTAGAGTGCAGTGGCATCATCATAGCTCACTGCAACCTCAAACTCCTGGGCTCAAGTGATCCTCCTGCCTCAGCCTCCTGAGTAGCTGGGACTATAGGTACATGCCACCATGCCTGGCTAATTTTTCTATAGTTTGTAGAGACGGGGTCTTTTTCTTGCTCAAGCTGGTCTTGAGATCCTGTCCTCAAGCAATCCTCTCACCTCAGCCTCCCAAAGTGCTACGATTACAGGTGTGAGCCGCTGCACCTGGCCTGTGTTTTATTTTTAAGAATAAAATTACATATTCACAGTAAAAAATAAAAGGATAGTATAAGAAAAGCCTAAAGAATAAAATATATATTTAGAGTTAATAAATAAACCTTTTAAAAAGATCACACCAGACACGTTGCTTTGCAGCATGTTTTTTGCACTTAATGGATATTAAGATCTTTTTGGGTCAATATACACTTGTATAAAGCATCAAGTTTTATTTCAATAATATTACTTTTAATGACTTTAGTATTACATTTTTGTATTAGTGTGCTTTTCTTTTTCTTATTGATTTGCAAGATCTGTTTATATATTAAGTATATTGACCACTGTGTGGTATATATGTGTTACAAATATATTTCCAGAATATTGGTTCCCTTTAGATTTTGTTTATGGTGTTGTTGCCATTCAGAAACTTCACATTGATTTAAAGCCAAACCGTCGATCTTTTCCATAATGATTTATGACTTCAGGGACCCCATTTGAATGTCACTTTCTAACCAGAGATCAGATATTCATTTGTATTTTTGTTGTTGTTGTCACAGTTTTATGGTTTTATTTTTTTGTATTTAAGTCTTTAATCCATTTGGAGTTTACTCCGGTATAAGGTTTGAGCCTGGGAATCTTAATTTTTTTACCAAAAAGTTTATCTAAATATGACCCTAGGGTAGGGTGGGATTTCTGGGGCCAGTTTCATCTTGAAGAAATGTTGGTGACTATGTCTGTATTCCTCCATCCCTGCTAGGCCTTAGAAACCCGGGCCAGCCCTGGCCACACCCCGGGCTGTGTCACCTTTGTCCTGAATGACCACAGCATGGCCTTCACTGGAGATGCCCTGCTGATCCGAGGGTGCGGGCGGACAGACTTCCAGCAAGGTGACCGGCTTCTTATTTGGCCCAAGATCTTCATATAGTTATATGTGTGTCAGGGTTTTAAGCATGAGTGACAAGAATGAATGAATGCATATTAGATTTTTTAGGAGGGGTCAGTACTAGATTCAAGGAGTTTAGTTGCCAGAGTATGGGAAGAGTTAAATTCAGGGGTTTAGCTGTTGGCGGACAGGTAGATTCAGGGGAGTATTAGTTCTCTATTGCTGTGTAACAAATAGCCCCAAAGCCTAGTGGCTTAAAGCAATGATTAGCATTATTATCTCGCAGAGTTTCTGAGAGTCCAGAATCTGGGATCAGCGTAGCTGGGTGGTTCTGGCTCAGGGTCTCTCATGAGGTTGTGGTCAAGCCGTTAGTCAGGGCTGCTGTCATCAGAAGGCTCAACTGGGGCTGGAGGATCCACTTCCAAAGCACTCACTCACATGGCTAGCAAGTGACCAATGGTTGTTCGCAGGAGGTCTCACTTACTCACCACCTGGAGCTCTCCACAGGGCTGCTTGAGTGTCTTCAGGACATGACAGCTGGATTCTCACAGAGGGGATGATCAGAGACAGACAGACAGACAGACAGATGCCCTAATTGTTTTTATGACCTAGACTCAAAAGTTACACTCGGTCTTTTCTGTAACATCCTATTTACTATTAGATGTAAGTCACTTAGTCCAGATCACGAAGTCAGGATAGGGGGAATTATTTCAAAGAGAAGTGTATCAAAGAATTTATAGACATATTTTTAAACCACCATAAGGGATTTAGCTGCTGGAGGTCTGTGTAGGGTAGGGATAGAGTTCTATTCAAGAGTTTATGCTCTGGAGCAGCTAGATTCAAGGATTTTTTTTTTTTTTTTTTTTTAAGAGACAGGGTCACACTCTGTCACCCAGGCTGGAGCACAGCAGCATGATCACAGCTCACTGTAGCCTCAAACTCCTGGGCTCCAGGGATCCTCCCGCCTCAGCCTCCCAAAGTGCTGGGATTATGGGCATGAGCCACCACACCTGGCCGGATTCAGGGATTTAGCTGCTAAGAAGTTGTTAGAGTCAGGGGTTTAATTGCCAGGGAGCAGCGATACATTTGGGGTTCCGCTGCTGGGGGCAGTGAGATGTAGGGATTTCCCTATGGAAAGAGAGTTCGGTTTCAGAATCTCAGGGTGTGTTAGCGCTTTGAGCATGTGTGTGAATGTGGGGTTGACACCAGGTTTGGAGGATTTAGCTGCCTTGCAGGGAGAAGTGAGATGAGAGAGAAAAGACGGAAGCCACGATGAGATGGCCGTGGGAAGCCAGGGGCCCAGGCCTCTTGCTCTCTCCCCTCTCCCTTATCTCTGCATCTCAGTCTCTGTCTTTTTCTCTCTGAGGCTTCCAATCTTGCATTTATCCATTCCCGACACAGTCATGACATTGAAGAATTAGGCTAGAATCAAAGGCAGAAGAGAGGTTTACCCAACCCAACCTAGCACGCAGAGCTTCCTGTCGGAACTATGGCCCCACTCTCCTGCTTGGCTTATGTCTTTGGTTTCTTACCTTCTAGTCCACCCTCCTTGCCTAGATGCCTTTCTTGGCATCTCCAGGGTGAGGGCACTACGCCTTGGTGCTCCAGGGTCCCATCCCAACCTTATTCACAGCCATGCTGAATTTCTCACCGTTCCTCCATTCCCTGCGTATGCTGTTCCACCTGCCTGGAATGTCCCTTCCCTTCTCTACCTGGACAAAGGGGTATCGGCAGGACATGAGGGAATAAGGGAGAGGGTTTAGCTACAGCCATTTTAACCTCCCACCCTTTTCTTTTCTTTCTTTTTTTTTAGAGACAGGGTCTCACTCTGTCACCCAGGCTGAAGTGTGGTGGCACGAACATAGCTCACTGTAACCTTGAACTCCTGGGCTCAAGTGATCCTCCCGCCTTACCCTCCTGAGTAGCTGGGAATACAGGTTGCACGCCACTGTGATGGGCTAATTTTAAATTTTTTTTTCTAGAGACAGGGTCTTGCTATGTTGCCCAGGCTGGTGGTGAACTCCCAGGCTCAAGCGATGTTCCTGCCTCGGCCTCCCAAAGTGCTGGGATTACAGGCGTGAGCCACTGTACCTGGCCCCCACTTTTTTCTTGAGGGAAGGAGCTAGGGCCTTCTCTCACCCTATTGATCCACTGACCTCTGGCCTTTCTTCCCCAGGCTGTGCTAAGACCTTGTACCACTCGGTCCACGAAAAGATCTTCACACTTCCAGGCGACTGTTTGATCTACCCTGCTCATGATTACAATGGTGAGGGCTCCCTGGAGGAGGTGTGGGGCTTACATTACTTTTGAAAGGGCGGCACGGGAGACCACGATTCCCAGAAATTCCTCTGGCCAAAAGGATTAAGTGCTTGAGTGTGCCGTGTGTGGATGTAGATACTACAGGACTGTTCAAATTCTGCAGGGCACGAGTTTTCCTGGGATTTCCCGTAGATCTTAGGAAACTGTGGGAAACTACATTTCCCATAGTGCTCAGGGAGGAGGGAAGGCAATCTCAGGAACTTTCTCCGAAGAGCCTGTTGGTCCCAGGCCAGAGAGGCACCCCAAGGCCTCCTGGGAAATGCTGTTCTGAGAGGCCCGAGGCGCTGCACCCATTGACTTTCCTTCCCCTCCCTTGGCGGCTAGGGCTCACGGTGTCCAC